CTCCTCCTCCTCCTCCTCCCTCCTCCTTCTCCCAGCCCCGGAGGCCAGCTCGGACCTCCGGGCAGCCTAAGGCCGGCCATGGCCGAGGAAGGCTTGTGCCTCCGCCGCCGCTGGAAGCGCCACATCGTCCGGCAGCTGCAGCAGCGCGACCGGGCGCAGAAAGCGCGATTCTGGGATCTCGTGCAAGCCTGTGAGTGGGAAAGGGAGGTTTGGGGGGTGGGGGGCGAGCGGCGCTCTGCACGCGCCCAGAGGCTGCCTTGCCAATTTTGGGGAGAGGGGAGGGGATGAAAGAAGGCTCAGAGGCTGCATTGCTGGAGGGGAGACCGTGCAAGGGGGTCGGGAAGCGCTTTGCACGCGCCCAGAGGCTGCCCTGCCGGTTGGTAGGGAGAAAAAAAGGGGGGGGCTCGGGGCGCTCTGCACGCGCCCAGAGGTTGCATTGCTGGAGGGAAGACGGTACAAGGGGGTCGGGAAGCGCTCTGCACGCGCCCAGAGGTTGCCTTGCTGGAGGGGATAGGAAGTAAAAGGAGCGCTCTGCATTGGCCCATTGCTGGAGGGGAGGCGATGAAGGGTTCGCGAAGCGCTCTGTACGCGCTCAGAGTCTGTCCTGCAAGGGGGAGAGCAAAAGGGAAACTCCGGGGTGCTTTGCAGTTTGCACCCTCCCAGAGGATGCGTTACCAGCGCTCTGCACTAGCCCAGAGGCCGCCTGCCACTGGGAGGAGCGGGCGAAGAAGGGGCCGCATCCCCTCCGGGAGAGAGAGCATGTGCAAAGGGCCCATGCTTCTGGTTTCTGCTTCTCCTCTTCCCCAATTCTGGGGGGTGAGGGCAGCTTTGGGCCATCTAGCACCCCCCCCACCCATCCCTCTCGGCATCCTTTCCAGGTTTTCTTTTAGCCGGGATGGGAGCTGCTCGCCCTGGCACTGTGAGCTGGGCGTGGCTTCTTTTCCCAGCCCCTTGTGCCCCTCCCCAACCCAAATGCCATCTGTCAGAAATGGTAGGGTTTGCTTGACGGTGGGGTTAGACTAGATGACCTACAAGGTCCCTTCCAACTCTTGTTAATCTCTATCTGTAATTTGGACCGCTCCCCTGGCCCAGACATCCGGTCTTTGCAGAGCTGCCGGGACCCTCCTGTGCCCCTCGGGCACTGCCAGCCCCCCCCCCCAAAATCCATTAATTTAATTAATTTAATTAATTTAATTAATTTAATTAATTTAATTTAATTTAATTTAATTTAATATTTAAATTTAAATATTTAAATTTATATACCGCCCTTTTCCCGAAGGAAAACAACCAGAAAGACCGGCACAAATTTTGCACAGAAATACACGGGGATTTTGCATGCAGAGTCCTCGCTTTACGACGACTTCGGAGTTTCGACGTTTCTAAGCGAGATGGTTGGGAAGTGAGTTTCGGGCCCGTTTCACAACCTGCATGGCCGCAGCTGTTAAGCCAATCGCTGCGGTCGTTAAACAAGCCACGTGGTCCTTAAGTAAATCAGACTTCCCCTGTTGGCTTAGCTTGTCAGAAGCTAGCTAGGAAGGTCATACATGGGGATCGCGTGATTCCCAGGACGTCATAAATTACACAGCCTGAAGTTTGATCATGTGACTGTGGGGAAATGCTGTGATGGTCATATCTGTGAGGACTTGGAATAAGTCACTTGTTTTAGGGCGGTTGCACTGGTGGACTTCAACTCCCAGAATTCCCCAGCCAGCCACTTGAAGATGGGTGGACTTCAACTCCCAGAATTCCCCAGCCAGCCTGGCTGGCTGGGGAATTCTGGGAGTTGAAGTCCATCCATCTTCAAGTAGCCAAGATTGAGAAACTGTTCAAAAATCACTTTTTAAAAGCCAGAAATTAACATTCAAGACACAAACTAAGCTGTCTACAGAGGGAGGATGAATCCGGAGGGCTGCGATTATGTTGGTTGCTGTTGGAAACTCCGTTTTTTTTTTAAGGGCCCATTGTTCTTTCCAAACTAATTTCTAAGTTTTATTTTTCCCAGTTTGCAAATTTAATAAATGCAATAACATGTTGAGACTTTGATCGCCCATGATTTGCAACCTCTGGCATGCTGGTGGTTCTTTTTTAAATTTCCTCAATTATTCACGATTTTATCTTGATAGAAAAGGAGAAAAAGAAGGCATTTGGCCAAAAACAAAAAAAGGACATTTAACTAGTTACAAAGCCAGCTTTGTATTCTGTGTCCAGCGCGGGGACCGATCATAATTCAATTTTTTCAGTTCTGTTGTAACTTTGAATGATCGCTAAGCAAACAGTTTTAAGTCAAGGACTTGGTGTAGAGGCAGACTTCAACCTCCATGGAGCCCAAAATTTCCGTTGCAAAGAGAGACATCTGCTGAGTGAGTTTTGCCCTGTTTTACCACCTTCCTTGCCTCAGTCATTAAGTGAATCACTGCAGTTGTTAAATTAGTAACCCGGTTGTTAAGTGAATCTGGCTTCCCCGTTGATTTTGCTGGTCAGAGGATCGCAAAAAGGGATCATGTGACCCTGGAATCGTCATAAATACCAGCCAGTTGGCAAGCGTCTGAATTTTGATCACCTGACCACAAGGAGGCTGCAACGGTCGTAAGAATGAAAAACGGTCATAACGTAAGTCACTTTTCTCAGTTCCATTGTAACTTTGAACGGTCACTAAATGAACGGTTGTAAGACAAGGACAACCTGAATTCAAATACAATCTAAGAAGCTGCCACTTTTAGCTGTTATTCCTGTTATTTCTGTTGAAGAATATAATATACGTTCTTTTAAAAAAGAGCTAATTGTATTTGCACAGTATTGGAAAAATGAGGAAACGCCGAGAAAGAGAAAAGAAGGTGTAATTAAAAAAAAAAATTAGATTGCGCAGAAATGGATAGATTGACATTAAAGATGAAAGAGAAGGGAACATACAGAATCCTTTCAAATATGGGATTCATTCTATAAATGGTTGGATAATAGAAGTAGAAATTAGTGCCGTGGTGGGATTCAACCGGTTTGCACCACTTCGGCCGAACCGATGGTTAAATTGCTGGCTGACCCCGCCCCGCCCCTCCTTATCTCGCCCCACCCACCTTGACGGATGCCTACAGTCACATCTGTGGGACAACCCAGCTGATCTCTGCCTGGTGAGTCTTCCTCCCTCAGCTGCCTCCCACGCAGAGGTGGGCTCCAGCCGGTTCGGGCCTTGTTAACTTTTTGCCTAGTTCGGCAAACCGGTTGATAGCTGGCCCCTCCCAGCCACTCCTTATGTTGCCTTGGCCGCTAGGCGCTGGGAAAGCATTAATATGTAAGCAATTGACCCAGGCGATACACTCTTCACAAAGCACCTCTGTGTGTTAAATGAAAATGTACAAATAAACTGTAAAAACAAGACAAAGAGCTAAAACAAACAGCCAGCCTACACTTGAGCGTCTACATTGTCGCTCTGCAAGAATAAAAAGGATGTGTGAAGTCTCTTTGTAGGCCTTGGAGTTCCCTTTTTGGACAACCTTGCAAACTGCAAAAGCAGAACAGGAAATGATTCAATTCCCATTTTTTTATTTTGCTGAATAATGTGAAGTTTAAAAGGTCAGCTTGGAAGACAGGAGCGGGAAAAAAATAAGATTTATCCCACCAGTGTACATGCAACACAACCGGCTCCGATTTGCACAAAGGAGAGAGAGGTTTGCCTCCCCCCTTGTTGGTGCAGACTGAATACGGGTGGTCCCCAACTCGTTTAGTGACGGTTTGAGGTTGCAATGACCGTGAAAAGAGCTGTTGAATGAATCATGCGGTCATTAAGCAGCCAAAATGTCAAATCACGTGACTCTGGGGAGGCTGCAAAGGTCACTAAGAGAATGGTTGTAAGTTGAGGATTGTCTGTAAAAGAAAATAAAATACTGAAAAAAAAGACATTGCACAGTCAAGCGAAATAAAATATTGAAAAAAGACATCGTAAAGCAAAATAAAAAATATTTTATAACATTCTCTATGTAACATAAAATAAAATCTTTCTCACATGCTCGTCTTATCTACTGCCTTCTCCTACTGACATATTATGATTTATCACATGTTTGCATTTTATGATTTATGATTGCATCTTAAGATTTATGATCTATGACTTATCGCTTTGTTTTTTGTAAGTACACTGAGGGTTTCTGCAGCGGAGACAAATTCCTTGTGTGAGCAAAAACGCACTTGGCCAATAAAGAATTCTGTTCTGTTCTAATGTTCAATCTGTATAGGGTCTCTGGCTTGAGCAGGGGGTTGGACTAGAAGACCTCCAAGGTCCCTTCCAACTGTAGGGTTCTATTCTATTCTATTCTATTCTATTCTATTCTATTCTATTCTATTCTATTCTATTTTCTATTTCACATTCTGTTCTATTCTATTCTATTTCATATTCTATTCTACTCTACTCTACTCTATTCATTATTTCATTATTCTATTCTATTCTATCCTATTCTGAATTCTGTTCTATTCTACTCTACTCTACTCTACTCTATTCTATTCATTATTTCATATTCTATTCTATTCTATTTGAATTCTGTTCTGTTCTATTCTACTCTATTCATTATTTCATAATCCTATTCTATTCTATTCTATTCTATTCTATTCTATTCTGAATTCTATTCTATTCTGAATTCTGTTCTAGTCTAGTCTATTCTATTCTATTCATTATTTCATAATTCTATTCTATTCTACTCTACTCTATTCTATTCATTATTTCATATTCTATTCTATTTGAATTCTGTTCTGTTCTGTTCTATTCTACTCTACTCTATTCATTATTTCATTATTCTATTCATTATTTCATAATTCAATTCTATTCTATTCTACTCTATTCTATTCATTATTTCATATTCTATTCTATTCTATTTGAATTCTATTCTATTCTATACTCTACCTATTCTATTCATTATTTCATAATTCTATACTATTCTACTCTACTCTATTCTATTCATTATTTCATATTCTATTCCATATTCTATTTCATATTCTGTTTCATATTCTATTTCATATTCTATTTTATTTCATATTCTATTCTGTTCTATTCTATTTCATATTCTATTTCATATTCTACTCTACTCTACTCTATTCCTATTCCTATTCCTATTCCTGTTCCATTCTACAGTATTAATATTCTGTTCTGTTCCCTTCAATTCCGCTCCATTCCATTCCAAAATATAAAAGGCATTATAAGGTAAAGCAAAACACTAAACAAAGAGCATTTTTGATCCCGTTCACATAACGATAGGAAACTGCATGGATGCAAACTCAAATGCAGGAGTTGAGTTTGACTCCCAAGACGATCCGAGTTGCAGCCCTTGCAAACATGCTGCGGACGTTGGGCGACAGTAGGCTGGTTCCCCTTGAGTGTAACGACTTAACAGGTGTAATAATCCTGTAGTAATTATATTCGGCCCATTAGGCAGCTGAACTCATACCGTGTTCTTGACTGTTGTTAATTAAGTTAGACTCACCTTTGATGGCTTAATGGAGCGATATGGCTGGCAGGTTTTCTTCCTGGAAATGTCGAACGTGACTTGAGTGGCTTTCCAAGAATTCATTGACGGCAGCTAAAATAATTTTTGTGTAAGCTTTCAAGTCATTGTTGACACCTGGTGAATGGCAAGGTTTCAGTTGTGCTTTGCCATTGCTCGCTTCCTAGGGCTGCGTGAAGATGGCTGGTCCAGCCAGCTTTTGTGCCAATGATGTGGAACTAAAACTCCCTGTCTCCTGGTGATTGGCCCAAAGTCACTCAGCCGGCTTTCATATCTAAGGCAGAACTAGAACTCACCGTCGCCTGGTGATTGGCCCAAAGTCATCAAGCTGGCATTCATGCTTAATTCAGTGGAACTAGAACTCACCATCTCCTGGTGATTGGCCCAAAGTCACCCAGTTGGCATTCATGCTTAAGGTGGAACTAGAACTCACCATCTCCTGGTGATTGGCCCAAAGTCACCCAGTTGGGATTCATATCTAAGGCAGAACTAGAACTCACCATCGCCTGGTGATTGGCCCAAAGTCACCCAGTTGGCATTCATGCTTAAGTCAGAACTAGAAGGCTTCTTAAAAGCCTCCAATGATGGAGCACCCATGATTTCTGGTGGCAAGCTGTTCCACTGATTAATTCTTCTCACTATCGGGAAATTTCTTCTTAGTTCCACGTTGCTTCTCTCCTTGATGAATTTCCACCCATTGCTTCTTCTCCTGCCTTCAGGTGCTTTGGAGAATAGCTTGACTCCCTCTTCTTTGGGGCAGCCCCTGAGATATCGGAACACTGCTATCATGTCAACCCTAGTCCTTCTCTTCATTAAATTAAACATACACAATTTTTGCAACCGTTCTTCATATGTTTTAGCCTTAAATGCCCTAATCCTCTTTGTTGCTCTTCTCTGCACTCTTTCTAGAGTCTCCACATCTTTTTTTAAATCGTGGCGACCAAAACTGGATGCAATATTCCAAGTGTGGCCCTACCAAGGAATTATAAAGTGGTCCTCTGGAATAATATGAATATTAATCGTTAACTTTTCTCTTTGTTCTCGTCGCTGATGTTCTCATTCCTGTCTTACAGATACCAAGCTGCTGGAGAAATCCAACTTGGATGATCTTTCTATGCCCTTCCAAATCCCCTCTGTGGATCATCAGATGGGAGGTCCCCCTGCTTGCAGGTAAACCAAAAATCCAGGTTTACTTTGTTGGGTCTTTTATTTTAATTTATTAAATTTGTTTTGTCACCCGTCTCTCGCCACAAAACGATTCTTCCGCCGCTTCAGGAAACTTGAGTTCTTTTGTAGGAGAAGAGCCAGAGTCTCGGTGACCAAATAAACAAATAAATAAATAAATCATGAGGACTAGTAACTCCATTTCAGACGAAGCCATTTGAATGGGGGGGGGAGGGAATGTAAATTTTTGCAGGCCGCAGCAATTCAATTGGGGAGCTAGGAGGGAAGACGGGGTAGCTAAGCAGATGTAAATTCCCTGGCGAGAAAAATATTGCAAGCGTCGTATCGATTGTAAACCGTTCTAATTTAATTCAAGCAGGAGATCCGATACTATTCTGGACAAATAGCTATCCAATCTCTTCTTGAAAACCTCCAGTGGTGGAGCACCCATGACTTCTGGTGGCAAGTTGTTCCACTGACTAATTGTCCTCACTGTCAGGAAATTCCTCCTTAGTTCCAGGTTGTTTCTCTCCTGGATTAGTTTCCATCCATTGCTTCTTCTCCTTGCCTTCATTCAGTGCTTTGGAGAACCTCAAAAGCAGTTTCTCTTTCATCGATGAGTCTGCATGAGAAAGGGTTGGAAAAAACGGTCTCTCCCAATCTCCTGATCGTCTAAGAATCTTTCCAGAGGGACCAATTCGGTGCTGGATGATCTCTGGCACCCCCAACTCACTCCATCTCCACCTCCAGTGAGTCCTTGACTTACAACAATTCATTCCACATTACAACGGCCCTGAAAAAAGTGACTAGTTGTGTCCGTTTTTCACCCTTACGACCCGTTGCAGCGTTCCTGTGCTCAAGGGATCAAAATTCAGACTCTTGGCACAACTGACTCGTATTTATGACGGTCGCACTGTCCCCAGGGGAGGGGTGTGTGTCACGGGATCCCCTTTTGCGACCGTCTGGTGGGTTTCACATTTTGTTACCACCAGTAACAACCAGTTCTCTGCCCTAATGATTTCTTCCAACAACCAGTTGGCCAAACTGCTCAGAAAGTTAACAACCGGTTCTCCCGAAGTGGTGCGAACCGGCTGGATCCCACCACTGACACGTGCACACTCACTTCACACGCGTGAAGCATCTTTCACATATGCACCCGGCCTCAAAAACATGCCTAAATAGGACAGCATAGAGCCGGAGCAGGTGGGCAGTCCCTCCTGCAATTTCCGCTACCTATTCACCCGAACCGGCTGAATACCGGTTAAGCCAGTGTTTCTCAACCTTGGAAACTTGAAGATGGGTGGACTTCAACTCCCAGTGCTGGCTGGGGGATTCTGGGAGTTGAAGTCCACCCATCTTCAAGCTACCAAGGTTGAGAAACACTGGGTTAAGAGGTTCTCAACCTCTGTTGAGAACTGCTTAACAAACGTAGCAAGAAAAGTCGTAAAACGGAGCAAACTCGCTTCATTTCATTTCATTCCATTTATTGGATTTATATACCGCCCTACTCCCGAAGGACTCAGAGTGGTGAACAGCCACAGAATAAAACACATAAATACAAAATTTTAAAACAGAATAAAACCGAATTAAACAATTTGGCCGAGACAAATTTAAAACACCCAATAATTTAAAAAACAAATTAAAATTTACATTTTAAAGGGGAAAGATTTAGGCCAGACTGGCTTGATGGAATAAAAAAGTCTTGAGAGCGTGACGGAAGGTGCACAGATCCGAAATCCTCCGTATCTCCGAGGGGAGCTCGTTCCAGATAGTAGGTGCCCCCACAGAGAAGGCTCTCCCCCTGGGGGCTGCCAGTTGACATTGTTTGGCCGACGGCACCCGGAGGAGCCCCTCTCTATGGGAGCGTACCGGCCGGTGGGAGGCTATTGGTGGTAGTAGGCGGTCCCGTAGATAACCAGGCCCTAAGCCATGGAGCGCTTTAAAGGTGGTAACCAACACCTTGAAGCGCACCCGGAAGACCACTGGAAGCCAATGCAGCTCACGCAGGAGAGGTGTTACATGGGAACGCTACGTCGCTCCCATAACCACGAATGTTAACCCATAACCACGAAGCTTAACGAATGTCTCACTTAACAGCATCAATTTGGGGCTCCATTGCGGTCGTAAGCCGAGGACTACCTGTATTCTGGATCTCTGCTGTCCCTTTTTCTTTGATCTCTGCTACGGGAGAGCTACCGATTCAATTTTTTCAGTTGTGGTTCTCCTGGAAGTATCTGAGAAGCTGGGGACTGTGCTGGGGCAGGGCAGAGAAGCTGCCGAATCTGGCATGGTTTCTTGTGGGGACCCGGAAAGGAAGGGCAGGGCTGCCTCATGTCAAGAGCCTGACCTGAACGGATTTTACGGAAGGGCCCTGCCCTCCTTGGCTGAATGGGCCTCTCTCTGTTCCAGCAGGGAGGAAGGCCATTGTAGGCCCGGTTATATACCAGCCTCTGAATCAGCTGCTCATCAGTTGAGCTTCCATGGTCCATTCTGCAGTTTCTACAGGGAGGGGCCGGTTTGTTCTGCCAAGCCAGTAACTCTTTCCTCTCCCGCATCCCTCCCTCCTTCTCCCCCTCCCTTCTGCCCAGGGGTGAAATGCTCCCGGTTCAGACCGGATCGCCCAATCCGGTAGCGATGGAGGCGGGTGGTTCGGAGAACCGGTAGCAAAAATCCCTGCCTCTCCCCCACCCCACCCCATTGCCCAGCCGAGCCGCACAATCATCAGAGGCTTTTTTTATTATTATTTTTAAAAACATTTTTTCTACAACCTCTTTGGCCGAAAAAATGCTTTTAAAAGTAAAAAAAAAGAAAAAGCCTTTGATGATCGCACGGCTCAGCTGGGATCATCAGAGGCTTTTAAAAGCATTTTTTTGCTACAACCTTTTCGGCTGAAGAGATTGTAGAAAAAATGTTTTTTAAAAGGAAAAAAAGCCTCTGCCGATCAGGCAAGTCAGCTGGGATCGTCAGAGGCTTTTAAAAGCATTTTTTTAACAAGGTTGTAGAAAAAATGGTTTTAATTTTTTTTTTAAAAAAAAGTTGGCCACGCCCAGTCAGTCATATTACCCACCCACCCACCAAGCCACGCCCACAGAACCGGTAGTAACAAATTTTACATTTCACCACTGCTTCTGCCCTTCTTTCTTTTCGTCCTGTCCCTTCCCCCATCTTGCTTCCTTCCTTCCAGCCATCCTTCCCTCGATCTCGTCCCAAAGATGTTTTTTTTTTTTCCAAGAAGCAACTGGACTTTGTGGTTTGTTTTTTTTTCTTTGAAGATGTTTCGCTTCTCATCCAAGAAGCTTCTTCAGTTCTGGCTGGGTGGTGAAGGATGGAAGGATTTATTTTCCTTGAAGACAGCTGGTCATTTGCATCCTTTTAGAAGGTCATAGAAGCCACCTGGAGGTTTACCTGTGTCCTCAAGGTCTCACCTGAGTGGTGCAAATGGGTGTGGAGCCTGCTTGGAACTGTTGAAAGGACTGTGTTGGAAATTGGAGAAAAATGATCCCTCCCCTTCTGATGAGAGAGGGACGTACAATTTTGACCTAGGTGGCCTCTTCGACCCCTCTTTCAAACCAGCAGTCCTCTCTATCCAAAATGTGCACCCTGCTGTCTTCAAAAGAGCGGCCTTTGTCTTTTAAATGCAGATGGACCGCTTAATCTCGTCCTGATGGGTTTGTTCTCCTAGGTTGTGCCATGCGTTTGTGAAGTGGCTGTTTTGTTTCCCCAACGTGCAGATCTGCTCCATGGCTCACTGCATTGCATGGCATATACCACGTTGTTCAGTTTGTGTCTGAGTGTTTTGTCCTTTGGGGTAGACAAGCTTCTGCCTTAGTGTCTTCTTGTTCTGTCCCCATCCCACACACGCACCCCCACAGATGGCCCGGAGTTAATAAGCCACACGACAAAATTCTTTGAAGATAAAACTGGCAGCAACCCAGTGGCTAGCTGCCAATTCAGACTTTACTCACACAAAACAAAGATTAGACTGCAAGCATTCCGATAAAACAGGCAGAGTTTCAGCAATACAAGGATTAGTCCAAATGCAGTCCGACAAGGCAGGCAGAAGTCCAGTAACGCAGAGATCATGGATTATTTCTAGTTTTTGCTCGTCACAAACTGAACCGGCCACCACACCCACATTTATACCCTGTGGGGTGTGGTCCAGTGACTCAGCTAATCTCTGGCACGCCTTCCCCTCTGCTGCGCACGCTTCTCCCTGCGCCGCTGTCGAGGATCCAGCCAGCACTTATCTCCTTCGTTGCTGTCCACCTGTGGCTGCGGGGACGTGCTTGGCTCTGAGCCTATCTTTTGGCCTTGGGGGTCCTCCGGAGGCATTGTCAGAGAGGAGGGTCCTGGAGAGGGAGGCCTTGCCAACTCCTCTCCCTCACTCTCAGAGTCTGCATCTGTCGATAGCCCAGGCTCAGGCAACGGAGCCACAACACTTCTTGGGTTCGAAGGGTGCACATATGTTGGGTTGGCTGAAGATCCTCCTGAGCTTTTCCGATATTCCTGCAACGTTTATTGTTCTCTCTTCGTTGTCTGTGTGTGGAGATTCTCGGTCATCCAGGTCATGGTTGTCCCAAAGGTGCTTTTCTTTTCGTCAAGAGGCAACTGGACTTTCTGGGTTTTCAAGTTTTTCAAACTTGACGGGGAAAAAAACATATTTGGAACTCTTCATTGTCTGTTATGGAGGAGCTCCTATAGCAGAAGTCTTCAAACTTGGCAGCTTTAAGACTTGTGGACTTCAACTCCCAGAATTCTCCAGCGATAGATAGATAGATAGATGATAGATAGATAGATAGATAGATAGATAGATAGATAGATAGATAGATAGATAGATAGATAGGTCAGGGACTCCAGATCTGGTTCAGGCACAGATAAGACAAAAACATACTCAACCTCCAGGTTATTCTGTTAATTAAGCAGTGGAACTACTTGTCACCAGAAGTTGCGGCTTCGCCATCCCTTGAAGGCTTTTTTTTTAAATTTGATTTATATGCTGCCCTTCTCCGGAGACTTAGGGCGGCTTACAATGCGTTAAGCAATAGCCTTCATACTTTTGTATATACCTGCTTAGTAGGGCTTTCGGGCCCCCCCAAGCGGTGTTCTTTTTTTTATACAAAGTCAGTTTATTGCCCCCACAAACTGGGTCCTCATTTCACCTACCTTAGAAAGGATGGAAGGCTGAGTCAACCTTGAGCCTTGGCGAGATTCGAACCTGCAGTAATTGCAGGCAGCTGGTCTTAATAACAGGGTGCCTTAGACCACTGTACTACCAAGGCTCTTAAGAGAAGATCGGACAGTCCTTGGCCTGAACTGTTATAGGGCTTCCTGCCTGAGTAGGGGTCAGACTAGAGGACCTTCAAGGTCCCAACCAACATAGTTATTCTGTTATCCAACCACAGATCTGGTTGGGTCAGATGCATTTGTGAGAGGACACCCTGGGCAACTGCAGACTGCCTTCAGGTCAGTGTTTGTTGTTGTTAGTTGCGAAGTCATGTCCGACCCATCGCGACCCCATGGACCACGTTCCTCCAGGCCTTCCTGTCCTCCACCATCCTCTGGAGTCCATTGAGGCTCCCGCCGACTGCTTCCGTGACTCCATCCAGCCACCTCGTTCTCTGCCGTCCCCTTCTTCTCCTTTTGCCCTCCATCGTTCCCAGCATTGGGCTCTTCTCCAGGGAGTCCTTCCTTCCTTCTCCTTAGGTGGCCAAAGGATTTGATTTTCCTCTTCAGGATCTGGCCTTCTAAAGAGCAGTCAGGGTTGATCTCCTCTAGGACCGACCGGTTGGATGGCCTTGCAGTCCAAGGGACTCGCAGGAGTCTTCTCCAGCACCAGAGTTCCAAGGCCTCTCAATTCTTTGGCGTTCAGCCTTCCTTATGGTCCAACTTTCACAGCCATCCATTGCAACTGGGAAAACCATGACTATACGCACTTTTGTTGGCAGGGTGATGTCTCTGCTTTTTAGTATGCTGTGTAGATTTGCCATGAGCTTTCCTCCCCAGGAGCAAGCGTCTTTTGATTTCTTGGCTGCCGTCAGGTTCAGTTTCACTGTCTCTCAAACCCTCTTTCTACAAGGTTCTGGTTTCTAACCAAGAATGCCATTCGCTTGCAGCCCCAAACATCCGTCTTCCGCTTGCGTTCCTGACACAGTTTGGGATTCTTCAACGCTGTTGATGTGTCTTCAGAATCGTCACCAAGACAACCTCTTGCAGTTGGAGACCGCCAATGGGGAGGTAAGCTTTGGACTTGGGTCTTTGGGCAACTATCAGGCAACTCAGCTGGGACGATCAGAGGCATTTAAAAGAAAAAAAGAAAAGCCTCTGCCGATCAGGCAACTCAGCTTGGATCGTCAGAGGCTTTTGAAAGCATTTTTTTACAACCTCTTCCCCGAAGAGGTTGTAGAAAAAATGGTTTTAAAAGTAAAAAAAAAAAAAAATTGGCCACGCCCACCCAGTCACATTACCACCACCACCCCACCAAGCCACGCCCACAGAACCAGTAGTAACAAATTTTAGATTTCACCACTGGTGAAAACAGCGTCATCTGCCCCCGGCGCCTTCCAAAAATCAGCTGGAGGTGCGCACCTGTTCTGCCCCAGCTATGGACCCCAAAGAACACAGCACACATAAAGTTTGTACAAAACTTAATTTACTAAAATAACTCAGTCTTTTTCAAAACAAAGGCTGTTAATAAACTTCCTTAACAGCCTACAAGAAACCAAAGATAAAATAATCACAATCTTACTAGAGTTGGCAGAAAGCCCAGAAGCAATTTGCAGAGAATCCAGACGCGAAGGAGAATGAACTAAAGTTGTTCCCTACAAATTGCTTCAGTCGGCATTCCTCCTTAAATAGGCTAAGGGAGTGGCCAATTAGCCCCAAGCCTTACTCTCGAGGAGACCTCCTCCTGAGGAGCCACTCCTGCCTTTTGGCAGCTCTGCGTGCCCGTGCATCGAGAAGAGGCTCCTCCTCTTCGTCCTCTTCACCCATGGAAGCTTCTGGAGGTTCTGAAGGCCTTGGCTGAATCCCCGCCTTTGGCACCACATCCTCTCCAGCCTCCTCATTGTCCAACTCGAGCGCCAGCTGCTCAGGCTGCTGGCGCAGCACCACACCAGCCTCCTCGCTGTCGGAATCAGCTACAATCTGCACAGGCCGCTGACGGGGCACAACAGCACGTGTGCATGCACAATGGACGTGAGCTGGGCAACGGCTTGTGTGCCCGCAGAGAGGGCAGCTGTGGCACATGTGCAAATCCAGGGAGGAAATTGTGACTTCCCATGATGCTCTCAAGTTCTTGAGATCTTCCTTGTTTTTGTAAACTGAGGACTTGCTTACCTGGGGTTAGAAAAATGACCTGACAGCCTCTCTCTCTGGCTTGCAGATGGCATACAAGGTGTATGAGTTGAACCAGGTGCTCCAAGCTAAGGATGCAGCCCTGGGGGACCAGAAGGACAGGTAAGGGGTCTCCGTGGGACCTAGAACTCTTTCTAGGTGCAGGCCTGGCAGCCTGGGCCTCTTGCCCCAGATGGAAGAAGGACAGGGCTATTGGGGAGCTGGGCTCTTGGGGGTCTGACGGTGCCCGGATCCTTCGCGTGCTTCACCTGTGAGTCTCAACCGTGGCAACTTTAAGATATGTGGACTTCAACTCCCAGGATTCCCCAGCAGGCTCTGCCGGCTTTCATGCTAAGGCGGGACTAGAATTCCCCGTCTCCTGGTAGTGGCTCAAAAACCCAACTGGCTTTCAATTGGGTGTAGGGGTTAAAGTGCTGGCTTAGAAACTGGGAGACAGTGAGTTCTAGTCCCTCCTTAGACATGAAAGCCAGCTGGGTGATTTTGCACTAATCATCGGGAGACAGTGAGTTCTAGTCCTGCCTTAGGAATGAAAGCTGGCTGGGTGACTTTGGGCCAATCACCAGGAGACGGTGAGTTCTAGTCCTACCTTAGGAATGAAAGAAGGCTGGGTGACTTTGGGCCAATCACCAGGAGACGGTGAGTTCTAGTCCTGCCTTAGGAATGAAAGAAGGCTGGGTGACTTTGGGCCAATCACCAGGAGGCGGTGAGTTCTAGTCCCGCCTTAAGTCATGAAAGTCGGCTGGGTGACTTTGGGCCAATCACCAGGAGACGGAGAGTTCTAGTCCAGCCTTAGGCATGAAAACCAGTTGGGTGACTTTGGGCTAATCTCCAGGAGGTGGTGAGTTCTAGTCCTACCATAGGCAAGAAAGCAGGCAGTGTGATTTTGGGCCCGTCCATCTCTCCCTCTCTCAGCCCAACCCTCCTCACAGGGTTGTTGTTGGGAAAACAGGAGGAAGGAGAATTAGGTTACATTCGAGTGACTTAATATAAAGTAATAAAGTTAGGCTCAAAAAAAAAGAAAAAATCAGATAAATAGAAGCAACCCGAACGTGCATCTCTTTTATTGCCCCAAAGGTAAGATTAGGAGGTCGCAAACATTTCCGCGTTTCGCTATTTCAGGCTGGACGCTCTGAGCTGCCACCTGTCGGGGCTGCAGGGCTGGTGCTGCCTACTGCAGAGCCAGGCGCAGGAGCTCCGGTGCAGGAACAGCGCCCAGAAAGCCGAGTACGATTCCCTGCAGAGGCATTTCCAGCAGCGGGACGGGGAATTCCGCCAGGCCCAGGAAAACGGGGAGCGGCTCCTCCAGCAAGTCCTGCGGAAGAAGGCGGACTGGGCCCAGCACGAGAACCAGAGGATAGAAAGGTGAGAACAGGGGAGGGAGCTGAGTCAGATGCAGGGGGGGGGGGGGGCTCTTTGGAGACCTGGAGGGGTCCTCGGTGCTCCCCGAGCTGGGTTGTTTTTCTGTAGACGTTTCGTCACCCAACTAGGGAACCTCATCAGTGCAAAGGAGAATTGAACACTTGCACTGATGAGGTTCCCTAGTGGGGTCTTGAAAGGTCTGCAAGAAAACAACCCAGTTCAGAGAGCACCAAGGACCCCACAGTCTTCCTCCTCCTCCTCTTCCTCCTCCTCCTCCTCCTCCTCCTCCTTTTCCTCCTCCTCTCCTCCTCCTCCTCCTCCTCCTCTTCCTCCACCACCTCCTCCTCCTTTCTCCTCCTCTTCCTCCTCCTCCTCTTCCTCTTCCTCCTCCTCTTCTTCCTCCTCCTCCTCTCCTCCTCCTCCTCCTCTTCCTCCACCACCTCCTCCTCCTTCTCCTCCTCTTCCTCCTCCTCCTCTCTCCTCCTCCTCCTCTTCCTCCACCACCTCCTCCTCCTCCTCTTCCTCTTCCTCCTCCTCTTCTTCCTCCTCCTCCTCTCCTCCTCCTCCTCCTCTTCCTCCACCACCTCCTCCTCCTTCTCCTCCTCTTCCTCCTCCTCCTCTTCCTCTTCCTCCTCCTCTTCTTCCTCCTCTTCCTCCTCCTCCTCCTCCTCCTCGTCCTCCTCCTCATCCTCCTCGTCCTCCTCGTCCTCCTCCTCTTCTTTCCCACCATTACCTCAAACTCTACTCCCTAGTAGCACTGATGTTATTCCCTAGTTGGGCTATAAAATGTCTCCAAGAAAACTACCAAACTCAGAGAACACCAAGGACCCCACAGTCATCGTCCTCCTTCTCCTCTTCTTCGCCTCTTCTTCCTCTTCCTCTCTCCAAACCCCACTCCCTTCTAGCACTGATGACATTAGCTAGCTGGGTCATGAAACGTCTGCAAGAAAACAACCAGGCTCAGAGAGCACCAAATAACATTCCTCTTCCTCCTCCTCCTATTCCTCCTCCTCTACTCTGCAAACTCCATTCCCTACTAGCACTGATGACGTTCCCTAGTTGGGTCTTGAAACGTTTGCAAGCAAAAAAGAAAAAAAAAAATCAAGCTTAGGGAACAGCACCGAGCCCAGAGAAACATGGAAAGAGCTGAGGGTCCATCCAGTTTGCCCTTCTGAGTTTGTTTTTTGTTGTCTTTTTCATTTGTTTTGTTAGAGTTTTCCATTATTATTTTAATATCGTCTTTTTTACTTTCTCTTTCACTTTTAATTTTCGTCGGGTGATGGACAGGGGTTCATCCCAAGCATGTTTAATCTCAGTATTTGGTGTCTCTCACCTGTTACCTCCCCTGGAAGTTGGTTCCAAGCAGGGGTAGGACTCAAAAGTTTTAGCAACTAGTTCTCTACCCAGTTGCTGGGTGGGCGTGGCCATGGTGGGTGTGGCCTACTCACCCCCCTGCACTAAGAGGGGGGGCGTTTTCACCCTCCCCAGGCTCCGGAGGCTTTCCTTGAGCCTCCAGGAGTACAAAAAGAGCCTCCCCCGGGCTCTGGAAGCCCATTTTCAGACTTCCAGGAGGCCCGTTTTTCGCCCTCCCAGAGCCATCCATCCATCCATCCATCCATCCATCCATCCATCCATCTATCTATCTATCTATTTATCTGTCCATCTGTCTATCCATCCATCCATCTACTGTATATCTATCTAATCCATCCATCCATCATCCATCTATTTATCTGTCCATCTGTCTATCCATCCATCCATCTACTGCATATCTATCTAATCCATCCATCCATCTATCCATCCATCTATCTTTCTTTCTTTCTATTTTTATCTATCTACCCATCCATCCATCCATCTATTTATCTCTTATCTATCCATCCATCCATCTATCCATCTATCCATCTCTTTATCTATCTGTCCATCCATCCAATCCATCCATCTACTGTATATCTATCTAATCCATCCATCCATCTATCTATCTATCTATCTATCTATCTATCTATCTATCTATTTTTATCTATCTATCTACCCATCCATCTATCTATTTATCTCTTATCCATCCATCCATCTATCCATCTATCCATCTATTTATCTGTCTATCTGTCCATCCATCCATCCATCCATCCATCTACTGTATATCTATCTAATCCATCCATCCATCCATCCATCCATCCATCTATCCATCTATTTATCTGTCCATCTGTCTATCCATCCATCCATCTACTGCATATCTATCTAATCCATCCATCCATCCATCCATCCATCCATCCATCCATCTATCTTTCTTTCTTTCTATTTTTATCTATCTACCCATCCATCCATCCATCTATTTATCTCTTATCTATCCATCCATCCATCTATCCATCTCTTTATCTATCTGTCCATCCATCCATCCATCCATCCATCCATCTACTGTATATCTATCTAATCCATCC